CACAGATTAATCATACTTTGAACAACTACGTTACAAATTAATCGATCCAACCCATATTACCTGTGAAGGCGAAGGGGAAAGGAAAGCGGCGGGATCAACACGCCAACTACTGGAGAACGGAGACAGCGCGAAGGCGTCGAATGGAGGGCGACGACGGCGTGAAGGCGTCGAATGGGGCCGGCGACGGCGTGAACAATCGAATGGAGGCAGCGACGGGACGAGAGAAAAGGGGGTGTTTCACCGCGGTAAATTTTTAAAATTTCACCGTGAAGAATCAGTTTCTGTGAATCGGAAAGCAGATTTTAAATTTTCACCGCGGTAATTTTATGTTTTTAATTAAAAAAAGTGTAACGGTCCAAAAAATAAATCAAAAACTGAAGGAGGGATAAAAATTTCTGAATTTTTTTATTAAATAAATTCCTAAAATTTTTTGAAGCCAATTAAACTTATTCTCCAATAAAACTGGTTAATATAATAAAATTATATAAAAATTCACAAAAAAAAAACTAAAGTATTATAGTGTACTAGAAATACACCAGTATAATGTAGCGGAGTTCTGAAATCTATATCTTATTTTGTTGTTTGTCTTTCTTGATTTTATTTTACGTAAAAATCTAGAGATGAGTTGATTATTATTTTATCTTAAAATGTGTATCAATATGGGTTTCAAACTAAAGATTATAAAATTCTAATTTTATGATTTAATTTATTTAGTTTAAGTTTTATTATAAACAACGTATGGTCAATGGCCGATTTTCGACTCTAAAAGCCCGCATCATAAATCCCCCGATGACCTAATGCCTATTTATGGCCACAACACGCAAACAACTATTTTAAACCAGTAAAGACCGACTCCCCATGTTTATGGATCCATTTTGTTACAGTCTAAATTACATGACCCCGATTGAATGACCAACGCATTAAAAACATATACATCTTAAATAAAGATGCAATAATGCAAATCGTACCCAAACTAAAAATTGAACAAATTAAATCGGACAAATGTCCTCAAAATTCATTTGGATTAAAACTGATGTAACACTCTGAGTTTTATTAATTTGAATGGTACGTGTTTTTTTTTGAACTGTGAGAGTCATATATCAGGGGGGGTTTACATGCGAGTTGTATATTCGGCGGGTTTACATATATATATATATATATATATATATATATATATGTGCGGGTTTATGCGCATCGTATATGTTGGTGAGGTTACTATCTTGAATGCTAATGAATAAACACTAAAGGTCGAATGAGAACCTTGAAGTTGGAACTCTGCTAGAAAATGAATGGAAACTAAGATATGGTATCCTTGAGGCAACGCTTAGTGGAGACTGTGCACTAAAAGTATTATGACCTTGAGGTGACGTTGGTAGGGGTGTGAACTAAATGTATTGAAGACTTGAGTTGAAGCTTAATATAGTGTGCACTAAAGTCAATGATCTGAGGTGCAGTTCGATAACATCAATATGTGGCATACTTTTGTGTTTTCATCACGTTCAACGGAAACGGGTCTCCTCCATCATGGAAAGGTGTTGTTTTGGATATAGAATTTATCCATGTTTCTTGTGACATTTTGAGTAATGATTTATGGTTTTGGGGTATTGAACATTATCCATGTTTTGGATAATAAAGTTTTATCCATATTTTCAGTATTTGAATATTAAAGTTTATTCGCATTTTGTGTGTGTATTTAGTTTTGATTTCATATTAATTGGGAGTTCTGTTTTATGAGTTTTCATCATGAAAACTGGTCAGTTTTGAAAAAAATGTCACTTTTACATTTAATATAATTCATTTTGGAAATTTTGATTTAAATAACATCTTTTCATTTTTACCGCTTTATATTGAAGGATGAAAACTATTTGAATTCATTAGGTGTTAAGTCTAACCCTTTTTTTTTATCAGCATGTGCATCAAATACTCGTTGAGGAATGGTACTAGCGATACTGTGACAAGTTGAGGCTAGTTAGAGGCACGAGAAAGATTTAGTTGAGTGCTAGTTTCTGTGACGCTCGGACCCTAACCTAGACTTTGAAAAGGTTTTAAGTTGTACTTTTATTAATGTTAAACCTTTGGTTTGCTATTTTAAGTAATTAAGTGTTGACCGTTGGAAAAAAATTAATTATTAATTGATGTAATATGAAAGTTTTAAATTAGTCGTTCTTTTCCAGATTTTAGGATGTTACAACCGGGTGAACTACTGAATGACTCATTTGATTAATCAATAAGAGTCAACATAAACCAAGAAAATGCAAATATTCAGTGTTTGAGCAACCTATACATCAAAAGGTTTGAAAAATCAGCACCACGAACTCAAAGCTCAGACAAAATCCCAAAACGATTATTTATATCAGATTCAAGTCATTCAGACTAATCCAAAATGATTCATCATAAACTCCAAAATATGCTTAAAGGGTTTAATAAATATCATGACCCAAGATGCCAACAAAACTAAATCATGCATATTATTTGAATGATTTATAAAACCATTATACCAAAATGCATTAACATCATATAATCCTCATATGACAAATAAGTCATTAGAACCTTCAAATTTTATGATTTATTATTAAATATCCCCCAAAAAAACCAATTACATGTATTTTTAAGATTTGTAAAATCAAATGTACCAATGATGTAAACTCATCAGATAATCAACATATGTGATAAATATCAATAAGAAATAGACATTTTTGGCATGTACAAAAATTTCACAAAGAAACTTGAACCCACCTTGCTAGGCTAGGTTAAACCTAGATTCCAAATTCAAATCCTTAGCTTCCAAAAATGGAGATTTCACCATCTCCAGGTCATCCCCAGTAAGTATTTAGGGTTTCCAAACCCACTCACTTCATCAGGTCTATAAATGAACCACAAATGAGCATAAACTTTAGATCTACAAAGATCTTTATACTACAACTCAAGATATTCAAGAAACTATTATCACATCAAACCTTGAGATCCTTCAACTAAAGCTCTTCCATGGAATATTTCCAACCTCCAAATCCAAGCTTCTAAACACAATATTTAGATTCTTCAAGATGAATCCACACCAAGCTGCTCTAAATCTGGTACAAGAACTCCCAAAAGTCTCCCTAAATAGGAGAGAAGTGGAAATGGGTAGGAAATCCCAAAAAATGGACTTTTAGAACTGTCCAAACCAATCCTACGACTTTGCCTGTGACTTAGGTCGTGTGGCAAGTCGCCCATGCTCCACCCTCCGGCTTAGGTTGCGTGGCTTTTTCTTTTAAGAATTTTCTTCGTTTATCGCATCTGAATCGATCTCCAAATATTATAATATGATAATTATATAAAAACCTTGTTCCCTTAGCATATTGAATGCCAAACGATCGCGAATATACTCCAAACGAAGGCTCTGAAATCACGTGTGTTACAAAAGCTATTGGGTTTGGTCAAGTAAGAGTTTTGATGTTCTCGACTTGGACCCCTTGGTTTGAATTAAGTGAGGGTTTTTTTATGTTCTCCTCTTGAAAGCTTTGATTATGTCAAGCGAGGAGTTCTGATGTTCATGTCTTGAAGCCATTGGGTCGATCAGGTGAGGAGTTTTGATGTTCACACCTGGACTCTTGGTTTGAATCAAATGAGGAGTTTTGATGTTACCATCTTTAAAACATTGAAGAGTAAGTACTAAGGTCGTTTGATGGTCTCAAGGTGAAACTCGACAATATTGATATATAGCCTACATTGTGTTCCACCACATCAAATGGAAACAGGTTCCATCCGTTATCGAAAGATGTTATTTGATATCTGAAAAATGATGTATTTTGGAAATATGTCGTTTTAATTTATAAACATTTTTTTCAACTGGGAAAATTTTCATTTTTTAGTTAGTAATTTGTTGATGTTAAAACTTAAGTTTCCATTTTAGGTATTTCGAATGTGTCCCTAAGAAAAAATTTATCTTTCAGTTGATGTATTATAAATTTTTTAAATTAAATTCCAACCCCCCCCCCCCCCCCCCCCCCTTTTTTGGGGTGTTCCACAAGTTACATTGCCAAATAAGCATTTACAAATTAAATCAATTGAAATTTGATATTTTAATCTCATGGAGAATCTTCTTTTGAGAACTCTTTAATTCGTGAGATCTCTGAGAATCAATGCATGATGTGCTATTTCATACAATATTTTTTTTCCATCCATGACTAAAATTTAATGTATTCATTAACATATATTTGTTTCACATGTACTTGGTTCACAATGTGAAACTTTTTGACATGTTTGTAGAACAAAAAATACATTTAAAAAATTTCAAATTGTGAACAGAATACATATAACAAACAAACCGTGAAACAAATACATGTTAATCAATACATTAAAATTATATTCAGATGAAAAAAAATCATGTTAAACAAAATCTTAAGATAAAAGTTCTCACGAATATTACAAATTTTAAAGTTCTCAGATAATTAAACTCTTTACGTATTATCAACACACACACGTTGGTTGGAACTTGGAAGATATAAAAATCAGTTCTTTATACGAACCGATCACAATGCATAAGATATTATGGTTATTAAGAACATCTTCAAGAGATCCTCTAAAACAGCGAATCAAAAATTAAAACCTTAAAAAAATATGTTCATTCCCAACAACTTATCTATTTTAAATATAACAATATAAATTATATTATTAAAATATTAAATATATTTCATAAAATATTATTTCTTTATCATATACATTTAATTTCAAAGATTCTCATTAATAAAAATAATAAAAAAATAATTTATTTTTCTTAAATATTTAAAGATTTTCTAAATCTGGAGAATTTGACTTTCTTTTTGACTTTCTCCAAAAATATTGGAAATTTCCATTTTTAAAAAATCTACAAGAAATGGTTTTTATATTATATTTATTCAAGAAAAAAATGTTTTTTTATTGGGCTTACGGCCCATTTAGCGGCTCTTCATTAGCCCAAGTATTGCTTTAAAATGTAAAAGCCCAGTGGCCAGTAGTCAGACGAGCTTAGCGAACTGCGAACGTGCAGAGAAAGCAAGTGAAAAGGGGGACGCCACGAAAAATACAGAAACGGCGACGACCACCGGCGACCGGATATTTACGGCGACTCGTTGACGGAATTTTACCAGAAATAGGTATTTCTTCTCCAACCTCAATTGTTCAATTCTTCTAACAATATAGGTCAAAATTGTCCGAGTCAAAGCTAGGGCTCAGAATCATTCGTTTTGTTGCTTATATATTGAATTACATAATGTAGCTTGTCTGTTTATTGTTTGATGAATAAAGGTAGTGAATTTTTGGAAACTTTACGGATAATGTGAAATTCAAGCAACAATTTTGCAGCGGAGCGCTGACTGTTAGTAGGAATTATGTTAGGATTAGTTTTTGTTTTTTATTAGTTGAGTTATTGGTTACTTAAATTTAGCTTATCGTTTGAATTTGATAGGTAATTGATTCAGAATAAAGTTTTATGGTGTTTCAATATACGAGTGGGATCCTAGGGGTGTTTTGAGTTATGGCTGGGTATGCGGCATTTGAATCGGCTTCAGCTAGTTCATCTGAGCTAGGATTTTCTGGAACTTATTTGAATGGCCAGAGGGGGGTTCGTGCAGTGGCAGTGAGGCCTAATTTGGATAGGTGGGGAAACCTTAGAGAGGGTTCTGAGAGCAAGATGTTTGGTTCAGGATTTGCTGTGTCACGTGGTGGAAATAGTGGGGTGGTAGCATCAGATGATTTGCGCACATTGTCACAGTGTATGTCACTGGAGCCTATTGAGATGGGTGACCACAAGATTGCTTGGTATGTTGAGTTAAGGAGGGTTATGGGGATTTCTGTTGGAAGCACAGCTGAAGAGAATTCTTTTGGAGCTGCTGCTGCTCACATGAAGCCCTCACCCCCAGTGGCAGTTGTGAAGGATTTAAAGCGTTTCAGATTGAGTGTTGTGGATACATGTGTCAAAGCTAGGTACTTTTTGTTTATTTAGTCTATCGTATATAAATTTTAGAGTAGGTGGACTTTTACGACACTTTGTCATGTTGCCTTCTTTTTGAACTTCAAGGTCTGTCACCTCTGTTTAGCTGTAACCTAAATGAACTATGTATTGCTACTATCTAAATCCTGGACTTGTTTCGATAGACAATGTATCAGTAGGATTTCCTGGTCGGTAGTTGATGTTTGATGATGTGCTTTTGTTAATAGGGACAGAGCAAATAAAATGGATGAACACTTGCATAATTTGGATAAATATTGTGAAGCTGTATCCTCCACGAAACAACAGAGCAATGAGTTGGTGATTAATGACCGACCAGGTGCTTTAAATTTGAAGATAGGTACCCAAATTTACAATATAAATCAGAGAGTAGAAGATCGACCTAAGAACATTCTTCTCAACAAGCGTGTTCGAACTTCGGTGGCTGAATCCAGGGTTTGCTTCTAATATGAATTTACAACTTGATTTTTATTGGTATTTCAGAAACATCTATACCCAATATTACGGGGTTCATTCTCTAACCCAGATTGGAATCTACTTTAACTGTGTGTATTTCTCCTCACACATTCCAAAGTAAATTTGTTGCTGTTGTTTGACTGTCTGTCTACTTTGTTTAAATTTCTAGACATTGCCTTAGTTATTTTCTCAAATATACATCTTTTGTTCTGATAAGCAAGTTTTATCTTTCGACTTTACATGAAAGTAGATCTAAAATGCATGCGGTCCTTCTCAATAATCATAGTATAGACTTAATTGTAATTTTGCCTTAATCTGAAAATGCGACAATAGCTTGATGATAATTCTGTGGTAAATTGGAAAGTATCAGACAGGCAAGTCCATATATATTCTGAAAGCTAAAATTATGTACAAACTTGGGTTCACCGAGATTATGGATATTGGTACCATTTGGGTTTTTTTCTGGGAAATTGAGTCCATTCTATATACTACACTTTCAGACGGGACCCAAATATATATGAAATGTAAATTGGTGCTGAGAAACACTGCATATCATGTGCATGTATGTTGCTATAAATTTACGTGTTTATACACATAGCTTCAGGTTCCATTTGTTTTTATTGTTTCCTCCACTTCCCATCATCCATTTTGTGCGTCTCGTCTTTATTCCTCCATTTCTTCTCAGATCAAGTAAATGTGATCCACAATCAGCCTTCATTCTTCGCTTAGTATAAATTGCACCCTCAAAATGAGAACATCAAATGGAAATAAGAAATGGCACCTTAGTAAGGTGTGTGTGTGTTTGACGATTACTTTCTATGCATCCATAATTCTGTACAGAATGAGAAAGATTTTGGCAAAATGGAAATAAGAAATGGCACCTTAGTAAGGTGTGTGTGTGTTTGACGATTACTTTCTATGCATCCATAATTCTGTACAGAATGAGAAAGATTTTGGCAAAATGGAAATAAGAAATGGCACCTTTGTTCGCTTACTCATTAGTTGGATTTTACTGTGAAGCTGATCATGTTTTTGTTTTTCCGCTTTATTTCAGGCAGAATGCCAGAGTAATGGCCTACAGAGGCAGCCTGTGGCAATGGCTAAAGATGGAAATTTACTCGAGAACAATGGTGGAGAATCTGATTTGTTTGACAAGATTCGTATGCTGGCTGCAGGAGGGGAAGGGTGGGATAAAAAAATGAAAAGAAAACGTTCAGTAGGCACAGTTTTTACAAGAAATGACAGTGATGGAGTGCCTAAAAGAGCTACACAAAACAAGGTTGTTGATGAACGTGGTTCACAACCAAGTGATGCCCCCATCTGCAGGTAGTACCATCATTTCTTTTTCTGGATATTGTTCTATTTTCAGCTGGTTCCTCTTAACCATCTGTTTTCTATTATGTCTTTTCAATTGAATTAAGGAAAATGTAAACTATACACACGAACTTCATCAAACAAACCAAAGGGTCTTTGGCCTAGCGGTATCGTAGCCCTTGGCCTCCTAGGAGGTCAGGGGTTCAAACCTCACCATAGGTGAGGAGGGTGTGTGAGTTTATTTGTTGCATTTGCCGTATATAAATATTATATACTTCAAAAAAAAAAAAACTTCATCAAACAAGTTTTTCTGCTTTTTAGGTGGGAGTTGAACACTCACAACCCCAGTTACTAGTGTAAGTATGCACTTTGTGTGCTAGACCCCTGCTAGCTTACTCAATGCTACCCATGCCTTGTCGTAATGCATTGGCTTCACCATTTTGGTGTTACTGTTCTTCTACTGTATGACATGAAAATCTTCTAAAAATGCACAATCTTGATTCATGTAACTTTGTCAATTCACCCTCAGCCCTGCAGTGATTATCTACATTGATAATTTTGCCATTCCAAAATGGATGTCCACAATGAAAAAGGCAAATAGTTTAGGAATGTGTAATTATTATCTAATTAACCAGTGAACACCTTAACCCTTAATAATAGAGAGAGAAATTGTCTATATCTCATAATTAAGAGTATAATGGGAAAGTAGATGCTTACTTTTGAAAGTGGACGCTTATTTTGGGTCAAACTAAAATGGAAACATAGACTTATTTTGGGACGAAGGGAGCACGTATTTACTCTTACTACTATTTAGATTTTTTGAATTATGACGAAGTTGAATATGTTCAAATGTATAAGGGATGATTCATTAATTTCCCATTGTTGGAGGTAACTGTTGCATCTGTTTGATGTCGTTTCTATAACAGGAAACATTGAATCTTAAGTTGTCCTATATAAGTTTGACAAATTTGGCTGCTTCCTTCCTTAAGGATTCTCAGTATTTGGCTGCACCACATGATTCACAAGAAAATTGATGCCATCTAATGACTTTGTTTGTAATGCAAATTATGCAATAGGCTGGTTTCCTTTCTTGGGTTTTAATCCAGGGAATGGAAACATAGACAATTAAGATAGTCTGAGCTTGCTGGAAAGAACTGCCATTCGTCATTTATAGCTAGGAAGTGTGGTCTTGAGCTCTTATTCTCTGAAATCATCTTAAAATAAAAGAAACCGTTTGGTTTTATATAATATAATGTGCCCATCCACCACAAGCCCAAATTTTCCATTTTCATTCCCTGTTATTTGCATTTTCATTCTCATTTTCATTCCCAAGAACCAAACAACCCATTAGTGTAATCCACATTAGTACACTCCTTTTTGAAATTATGGTGAGGATTTGTAGCCATAGAACATATAGAAGTGGTCCTTGCTCAACTTTGGTGTCTATTATTTTGTGGCACACAAATGAGGTTTGCTCTTTGCAAATATGAGATTATGTTCTTGTCTATTTATAGTCCTGTAAACATGGTAATGGTTGATGTTCTATTGATGCCTGTACTTTTTCTTAAAACTCTGCAGGTTAGGGGCTTCTAATGGTACTGGTGGCAATAACAAGCCCAACACAACATCTTTGCCTAATAGTTCCATCACGGGCCTGTCTCCCAAAGGTGAACAGGGAGTGCCTATTCTTCCGAGCACTCTTACTGCTGGATCAAACAAGGAAAGGATCATCACAAAAGAAAACAGCAAGTGGGTGCTACCTATTTGTAGTGTAATATTTGTTTTCACTTGATTTGTTCTGCTAATTAGTTTTGAAGCTAGTCGTGCCGACTTGGGCCTTGTTTGGTAACACTTATGTTCTTTAATTACAGTTTTTTTGTAATGTAAACATAGTTGTGATATTTGTTTGACAACAAAATGAAAATGTGTTCAAAAAGAGTATCTGTTCTAAAAAGAACAAGGTGAATGTTTAAATAAAAAACAATGTTTTTTACTGGGTTTGAGATCTCAACCTCATTAAACCCAAATATTTAAACATGTTTTCTTAAAACTAAGAAACCTACAAAATCAAAATTGTAAATCATAAGTCATTTACAAAATTCTGTAAACTGACCTTGTATTTTTGAAAATGTGAACATTTGGTAAACAATCTATTCTGTTCAGTTTTCACTTTTTTGAAATGTAAACAGAACAACAGAAAAAAATCGTTGCCAAACGAGACCTTGGTGTCAAACCTCTTTCTATTGATACACTCTTTTTGTTTTAATCACTGTCTTTCTGATGGTTGTTGGAGCTTTCCTATATTTTCAGGTTAAATATCCGTGATGGCTTTTATACTACCTTTCCTAGTCCAGTGGCAAAAAGCAAGGCTTCAAGGACTGCACGAACAGGCTCTATGGTGGCAGCTAGTTCATCCCGAGGTATTCCTTATGTACCTGGAACGCTTGGAAGCTGGCAGAATGCAACAGATGAGGACAAAATTCTTTCAAATGATGGGAACAATAATCGCAAACGTGCTATGCCTCTGGGGTCATCTTCTGCTCCTATGGCTCAATGGGTTGGTCAGAGACCCCAGAAAATGTCTCGAGCGAGGAGAGCAAATCTGGTGTCTCCTGTCACAAATCAAGATGAGAAGCATTTATCTTTTGAAAGCTGCTCACCTTCTGATGTTGGTGCTAGATTGGTCTCTAATGTGACCAATGGTTCTCCTATTTCCAGAAATGCGACAAGTGGTCCCCCGAAGTTAATGGTTAAACTTGATAATGTTCAATCTCCACTACGATTATCTGAAAGTGAAGAATCTGTTGGTGGTGAAAGCCGATTAAAGGACAAAGAAATGGAAATTAGTGAAGCGGATGCAATTGTTGTTCAGAATACTGGATCTTCTGTTACACTTGCAAAGAAGAAAAAACCTCTTATTAATGAAGAGAGTGGCAATGGTGTGTGGAGACAAGGGCGCAGTGGAAGAGGTCCTCTGATTGCAAGGTCTAGCAATTCGCCAATGGGGAACAGATTGGATAATGCAGCCACACCAAAGCCACTTCAACGTAGTAAGACTGGTTGTAAGAAGAACGGAAGGTGTGTAACTTTTTGGCAATGACAACGAGTTTGTTTATTTTTGTGCTTCAATTATAATTCATGCAATAATGCTGTTGTTTGCCAGTAAGCCAGGCCGTCGATTGAAAAGGCTTTCAGATCGCAAGGGCTTTTCCCATCATGTCCCATTGCATAATAGTAGCTCTCCTGAATGTACAGGTACGTTGTTATCAAATATGGACATATAAGCCTGTTGTAGTTTTGTATTCTTAGTCATCTGTGGATCTAAGCTGTTAAGTTTCTTATCTTCAGAATGAAGTTATTTACATATTAGTTTTGTGTTGGATTTTGGGAGAAATTATTATGAGGTGGCCAAGTTGGCTTGCTCAAGCTAACCATAGTTCTTGAATTAGAATCCCACACTTGTGTCTTGCTCCATGCGTTACTAGGGGTGTATCAGTGTGTGGATGGATGAAGGTTCACCCTTGGATATTGGTTTTCCATGTCTTCAAAAAATTATTTGTCAAGCTGTCAATATTTTGTCACCACCTTCCAAATGAGGGAGTGCTCATTTTTGCTAATAAATATATGATTTTGTATATGATGTTCTAGGGGGGTCGGATGATGACCGGGAAGAGCTGTTGGCTGCTGCAAATCATGCTCGTATAGCAGGCCGTAAGACTTTGCCGATTAGTTTTTTATTTTTATTTTGCTTTTGTAGTGGAAGGATAGTTTTTGAACTGCTTATTAGTCACTATTGTGTAACTTGTGTTATTATTTGCTTGTATCTGTAGATCTAGCATGTTCAAGTACATTTTGGAAGAAAATGGACCCACTTTTTGCTTCTGTCAGTTCTGAGGACAAATCCTTTATATCCCACCAGGTTGAACTATATTTAACAATATGTAATCCTTTCTACCTATGAATGTTCGTGATTTTGCACCTTCAAAATCCATTCTGTATTTTTAATATGCTTTCAATTGCTGTTATGTTATTTGAGCAGCTAAAGTGTTCACAGGAGATTCGGGAAGGTGCTCCTCAGTTGCTTGGTCATGTAAATAATGCTAAGGTACTTTCCGCAGCCAAGCATCTGTGATTGTTTGACATTGGAACGCCACTTTTTCTTGCTTGGACTTGCTTTTACCTTGATTATTGGTCAACCGACAACACAAACTTTCTGTATGTTATATAAGTATGATTAGACATGATGCAAATGTTCCAGTAGTATGCCTTTTATGAGAGATTGGGGACCTTAACATTAAATCATCTTTTTTATCCCAATGGAACCTGATCCACCTTGTTACTTTTATAATTTGCTGGTCAATATTACTAAAAAGTAAGCTTAAGTAACCACCTTTCATATTTTTTTCTTCATTTACCTTGCTCATTCAAGTGTTGCATACTTTTTGCTTAGGCATTCCAGTTTATTTTGTGTTGGGACCATATTTGGATGCTGTTGGAAACACAAAACATACACAGCATACAAAGGGCTCTTTCTTTGCGGAACTGTGAATTGTTCTGGTCCTACTTCTCGATATTTATGTCTGAGGTTTTCTAGTTCTCTCCTTGGCACATCTGCTGGGACAATTCTCTTTCAATAAGAGCAACCACTTGAAAAGCCTTGAACTCAGTTTACTCTCATGAATCCTTCCCAAATCAGAGTGAAGTGGATGATGTGCCGAATCCGTTACCGACTTTACGAAGGTGTTAGACCAGAGAATTTAGTCCAGATGCCTGGTGGTCTTGTATCAGTGTTAGATGATGTCTAAAAGTTCTGTCATGATCTGAAAGACCCCTCTGATCATCAATTCTACTATTCTGATTGAGAAAGAAACTTCTACGGATGACCAAGCTGTGGGTGGTCTAAACCGATGTTGGCCATGCTTGTGATGGTTTTCAATTGTTCAGTATGATGATGACGTGCAGAAACATGAAACATGGCACACAGCACAGTGGCTGGACTAGAATTTCCAGTGGAGGATTGGCTTCTCATCTTTCTCATGTTTGCCAGTTCTTTTACATTCTTCTGTTGTATAACCGCCAGACATGCATGTCTTATATATCCAATGTGTCCACATTTCTTCTCAATGTTCTAGTTCTGTATTTGATGTATTTAATGTAAGCAAAAACCAAACAAACCCAGTGAGGTCCACCTGGATGTGGGGCCTTTTTTTGGTTGGGGGGGGAGGGATGTACGCAGACCTGACCCCTACCTCAAAGAGTAGAGCGGTTGTTTCAGTGAAGACCCCTGGCTTGTGCAAAGTGTGCAAAAAGAAAGGGTACAGCTTGCTCAAAAAATTTGCAGCTAGCTCTTAATTTAATGTAGTTCTCTTCAACTGCAGATCATGTCATCGGAGTTGATAGTTCTTAGATTCTCTTCATGAGTAATCCTAAACTTTGTTTGCTGTTCCAGGTGGGACTTCTGAATGAAGAAGATTCTGTATCTGATGCATTTCCTTCTGGAGAAAGAGAAGTGCATATGCAACATCAGGGAAGTGAGTCTTTCTCTGGGAGAGATGATATGGATAAAACATCTAATGGGTTCATGCCATTGTACCAACGAGTATTATCAGCACTTATTATAGAAGATGACATTGATGGGCTTGAAGAAGGGGAAGCAAGGAATATACAAGTTCAGAACGCTTATGGTGCTTCGACTTATGATTCACATCACCTCGGTGGTTCTGAGCCTAGAGAGGGGGCTAGGATGGAAAATGAATGTGATACCATGTTTTGCAACCGTGCTCAAAGTCTTCATTCAACAAATAAATCTTTTCCAAGCAATGGAGGTATAAACTCATTTAGAAGCTGTACCATCAATAGTCCTGTGTCTGAAGATGGGCATTCAGAAGCTGAGCTGCTGGCTGGGATTCCAAAGAGCTTCCTGAAGAAGTCACCACGAACGTTACAGATGGAAGGTCTTGGCAAAATTTCGCTTGGGTGTCAGTATGAACAGATGTGTCTAGATGACAAACTTCTACTGGAGCTTCAGAGCATAGGCCTATGTCCAGATACACTGGTAAGCTTGTGTCTGTAGTATATTCTGCGTTTCTGCTGCTTTAAAAGTATTTCAGATTAGTTTATGGAGCTTCCGAGGTGGAACAGTACGTATGACTGATATTATTAGAACTCTAACTTCTCTGTTGGAGAAATTTCTCTAGCTAGAGTGACATTAAGATCGAGTAGAACAGTTTTGAACCTATGGCGCTTTGTCTTAACTCTCCTTTTTTCTCTGTATGACAGCCTGACTTGGATGACAAGGAAAATGGAACGATCCTGCATGAAGTTGATAAGCTGAAGAACAGACTTCAGCAACAGGTAAGCTGTCTTCTCCTTTAACAGAACTTCAATTGAACATTTTATTTGACCTACAACTATCTCTTGTATTTATATGAGTTTCCATTTTTGTTGATTCCATAGGAGGTTGAGAAGAAGGCATGCTTAGAGAAAATAAGTAGAGATGTTGAAAGCAACTCTGGAGTCCGGTAAAACTTTCATAGCCAAACTTTTTTGCCAGCGTAGTCCAGTTGCATTGCTGGTTTATCAAAATTCAAACATTAACTGGTTGCTATGCAGAGACCTTGAAACCCTTGCTATGGATAGGTTGGCTGAGCAGGCTTACAGAAAACTTTTGGTGAGTTCCCTTAGCCAGTTCTTTAGTTTTATTTTCTCAAAGTAGTCATTTCTCTCTCCCCCCTATATTATAAATGTGTGTATATATAGGGTCAGGTTCAGGGGGAAACCGCAAGAAATGGAAAATTGAGGAACACCTTGGTAACCGTCAATCTGGACGGTATGCACATGTGCATACAAGTAATTTGTAAGCAATTTGTCCGGTATGAATATGTGCACAGCATAACATACACACGTGCATGAATACCGAGAAACAACTTGAATCACTTGTATACACATGTGCATACCCTCTGAATGAATGGTTATCAAGGTGTTAGTTTTTCATCTTTTTTGGGGTACAGTGGGTTTGATTTGAAAATCATGCTAGTCCATGATTATTTAGTTGGTCTTTGGTTCTGGGACGAAGCTAGCATCTTTCATGGCCATAGTACTTTGGGACAGTTTTCTTGGGTATAGAGGGTTCCTGTACATTTTGCTTGACTGGGAGTTCATATAAATAATCTTTAATTTATTTTTATAAAAGCATTTGTGGTTTACAGTCTTAAAGATAAAACAAGGGCCTAATGAACTGTTGCCAACACCATATTCACTCGAAGGTAACTTGTTTTTGTTAATGTTTAGCAGGCTACCAGACGAACGTCTAGATCCAATGTACATAAGGTGCCGAAGCAAGTTGCACTGGCTTTTGGAAGGAGGACTCTTGCTCGATGTCGTAAATTTGAAAATTCAGGTACAAGTTGCTTCAATGAGCCTCCATTTCAAGATATCCTTTTTGCTCCAGTCGAAACCGAGCCAGAACCTACGGCTTCTGTTGGATGGCCCATTGCCAGCACCAAGTATTCCCGATCACGTAACTCTCAGCCAGAACCCAAGCACTTAGCAGGTACGCCCATTTGGTTAATTATTGCCCTAGCAGTTGCTTTCTTTTTACTTTAGGGTGCATTTGGTATGCGGGGCAGGACAGTACAAAAACTTGTCCCACGTGTGGCACGATTGTAGACTGGGACAGAACATGACCTGAATGGGACAAAAATGCATTTTTTCTGTCCCACCAGAACAGGTGGAACAAAAATCAGGAAGATGGATAAATTACAAAACTACCCGTGTCAAATTTAAAACCCTTCCACAATTCTCACTTCCCATCCAGTCCAGTCCTCGTCCACGTACCAGAGGCACCCTAAACAATTTGCAGCCTTTTGTCATTTTCTTTTTTAGTCCTATTTGTTTTCCTTCCATTTGAATGTTTGACTCCTAGCTTGTGTACGTAAATTAATTGGATTTGTTCTTTAGATGGTGGTCCATCTAATATCTTTGGAAACTTCAATCATCTCTCCGATGAGGTGTTTGCAATAAACGGACCAATATCCAACAGAGGAAAGAAGAAAGAACTATCGCTTGATGATGTTGGCACTGCCGCCATTCGAGCTGGGACAAAGGGAAAGAGAAGTGAGCGTGACACCACCAAATCTAGACGTGGCTCAAAACCAAAACCAAAACCGAGACCAAAACCAAAACCAAAACCAAAGCAAAAGATGGCTCAACTGCCTATTACATCTGGGAACAATGAAACCAAAGGACCAATACATCCTGTACAGCCTTCAGCAAATGGGAAACGTCAGTTGGCAGATAGTAGACGGGATGTTCGATTTGCGTCCCAGGGTAGAAACGACACTACAAACCTGTTGGCTGATGATTTAGACCCATTGGATGAATTAACTGTAGGCGCCCCTCAGGATCTGACTTCTTTTCTGAACTTTGAGGAACAAGATCTAGAAGAGGATTTTGCAGCAGGACTTGACATACCGATGGATGATCTTACCCAATTGGATATGTTCTGATTTTGTTCTAGTGTACATTCACATGTGAAGGATGGGAGTCAGATGCAGCTTTGCATTTGGCAGTTTGTGGGGGTATAATTATTTAGAGAAATGAATAACATCTGGTGTATCATCATCTGCTTTCTGGAGGATAAGAATAAGATTGTGCAGATAGATTTTGACAACCCAAAACCATGGTAGTTTAGCAGCAATCTAAGGCAGGTCATAGTATAGTTTTTTTATACTATTACTGTAATCTAGTTTAAAAAATTCACATAAACCTTGGGATGGCAAAATCCTGCTATCTATTGATATATTAATGGAGAAGATTTTTTATTAATCATTGAACTCAAAAGTCTGTTTTGTAATGGTCTGGTTCTTTGAAAGCTAAATTTATTTAACCTGGATCTTCCTGTTGGTTAAATTTCAGTAATTTGTTGGTTATTATAGTGCAGGTCAATTGATTGAAAACGGAGCCATGACTTGTAGAACAAAGTTTAACAATTGACATTGTTGTGATCATTTCGTTTCCCATATATATATATATATATATATATAGATTTGGGATCATGTGAAACCCATGATTTTTTGTGAGACCCGTAAGACCAATTCTCAACCCTTAGATTAGATCTACCATCTGAACATTCATAATCACAAAATTGTCCCGAGACTTCTCAATAATCACAAAATTGTCACCGTACAACTTTTTAATCATTAGATCATTAGCTTATAAAGTTAATCAATAAACATAAATTGGTCTTACGAGTCTCACGAAAAACCTATGATCTCACGTAAACCTAACCCTATATATATATATAGAGAGAGAGAGAGAGAGGGGAAAGTTCAGTTGTAAACTTGTTTTTCATTGTGGACTAAGGCCACTGGAAAGTGAAACACGTACCCTCATTGTTCTTTTACAACATTTTATGGTATCTCGTACATGTACGGGACACATGACACTCGTTTGTATCCCATTAACAAGTAAATTTACAATTGAACCTGCCCACATATATATAAATATATAAGAAGATTAAGAAACAGTGAACAATAGAAGAAAATAAAGATAAAAATTTGTAATGTTGATTTGTTGTAAACAAAACAGCAATGCAACAAAGCCAACCCAAAAACTGGTTAAATGGCAGCTGCTACTTCACAAAACTATTACTACTAAATCACCTAATCAAAGTACCACACTGTCATGTACAACAAAGATTGAAGATTTCCCTTCCACCACAACAAATCAAAACCAAAATCGAATACAAATTCCGTTACGCAAATATATAAATACAGCTTCAGCAGCAACCCACCACAGCGCAGGACATATACCTTTCTTCCTTTCTATGCATTTCGCACACGTGGTATTTCAAGATCCATCATCTTACCTTTTCCTGTGCATTCAGGTACATCCATATGTAAATTAACTTCTTTCAACAAGCACCATTTGCATTGCATTGCACTTCAAGATGAAATTGGTTCATAAGGGTATGATAACCATGGGTGTTTCAACGCTTCTGCAGCTGATGGCCGCATCTTTGGGTTTATTTCAAGCAGATGAGACACAAAATCAATGAATCCTTGATCACCCATTGGTAAACGATGCCTCAATGATGTCTTCTTTGGAATCAGATATTCCAGTCTGTTTGTGTCCTGAAGAGTAGTAATATGCACCGTCATAATAATGTTGGAAAAAGGACCCGATAAAAGTCAAACAGAAAATGCATCAGGGACATATGTGATGGAAATGGGTTAAACAAACAAGAAAAACACAAAAAACAATACTATAATTTTGACATGGAGATACAGCATGATAATACAACAAACTAATTTTCAACATTTATTTTTTTGATAGGAAAAAAAAAACATTTATTATGTATTCAACACCATATAAACTGAACTAACAGCGAGGATTACTCCCGAGTCCCGAATGCAGCTCACACACATAGAACTAATTTGATATCAGAACTCAAATATTTCAGATTTTTATTTCCATTTGGAATCCAAATATCAAATCCAAATTTAAACAACAGCATCAGATTTAATGATGATTCACCAAGGGAGACCCCGAGCCTGCTTATTCCCGACATTTTCTCTGGGATCCTATGATCTAAATTTCTTCTTGCGTTCAATATTTCGGGAACTACTGTTTCCTTTATTACCCTCTTTCTTTCTTTTTCTATAATCAGTTTATCGTTTCTACACCTTTGATTCCACAATAAACCCAACTCTTGTTAAAACTACTGTATGTTGAGTGAATATCTTGCGTGATCTTCATGAGTTCCACGTGAGATCAAAAATAAGGATTCAAGATTCCACTGAAATCACTTTGGGGTTTGTTTTACTTTTTGGGATCTTGGCATTTGTTTGTGACACTCTAAAACCCATATCATAACATTAAGGCTGCAATCAAAGTCCAGATTTAAAGATGACTTTTTTGTTAAAACCTTTTATTTTGGACTTCCTAGTTTTTGTTATTTAGTTAAGACGAAGATAAAGATATGAAGATGAAAAAGATGAAGACCGGTATTTTCATCATTTTACTTTGTTATAAATCACAAGATTACGGAAATGAAAGGCAATGAGAGGAAAATTGTAGTACCTGGTTGCGTTCATAAAGCATGTGGTTTTTGGTGAAGTATTTGTGTGTATCTCGTCCCTTGGCAAGCATATCTTGTTCAATTGGACTTATAATTCCAATCACCCGGGCAAGCAACGTAGCTGGAGAATCATTCTGGAAGAGAACCTACAACACAGGACACTGCATTTTAGATATTGCAGCAGGCATCACATATGTTGATACAACCTTCAGAACACAAATCATATGATCAAACCCTATCATATATATATATATATATATATATATATATATATATCATATTAGATTAGATTCCCCAATAGTAAAACCTGATCACCTTGTAGTAGTTTCATTACACGAGTCATTAAGACAGCATCATCATTACATTAGCTTGCTTAGCTTAATTAGAAATGAACACACTTCAGAACAGATAAACATGATACGATAGCTCATAGACAGATATTTCCAGCATATCCTTCTACTCCAAGTTTAGATTCCGATACCAATTAATAGAAAATATTAGTTTCCAAGAATACAGGTAATACATCCAAAAAGGGATAGACTATGATCTCAAATCCACAAGCCTCATCAAGGTCCCTGATCAAGTCCTCATGAAAAACAACACGAAACAAGATAATTTTATTGGAACAAAATCCCATTGGTGTCATTTAATGTGTGATGTACAATCAAGCATCAAAAGTCTCTTGGGGCCCTAGGTATGCAAGTCATCCAAAAATTGCTTCATAACTAGCAAAAGATTATAAAGGATGCAACATGCAGCTGGTCCTTGTGTTTCCTTAGAACCTATGTGTCAAAAACTCAATGTGAAACATTATTTCCAGGCTCATTGAGCAGCCGCTTCAGGTGTGTATATATTAATAACATAAGAAATGGGAGGCGCACAAAAATTTTAAAGTCTAAAAATGAATAGAATATGAAAGGCAACTAAACAACACCGAGTCTACAAACATGGAAAATCTAGGTAAAGCAACCAAGTTCCAGCCACCGTTGTAAGGATGCAGATACGAGAAAGTGGTTGCATGATATATGGAGACAGAGATTTGGAGATTGTAAAAAATTAAGGAAGCAGGGTGCGTTTTTATATGCTAGACCAATGTAAAAAGAAATTATTCCATGATTCATAATCAAATATGGAAGTTAATTACATGTTAAAACCCAAATTTTATCATGCTTTTACTTTTACTTGGTATGTCAAAAGAGAACTTGTTATGCTGTTCCATTTTTTTCCCATTCGGCCAGCACAAAACTAAGTCTATTTTTTAATTCTAGCCTTCGTTTTTTTGGCAAATTGTAAATCTGTCATCTCTTCTTTTGGTATTTGAAAAACTGAAATAGGTAGATCATAAGGGTTGATCAAACCCTTCTGAAAATGAAGATAATGTTCAATACCTAGAAGCCCAGTTCAAAGTGTGACTAGGTTCCACTGTTACAATTACAGTTTTTACTGTCATCTAAGGCACTTTGCACGTGGGTCTCAGCAAGGCCTAGAAGCATGCCTCATTGAAATGAGGCAACCAAATGGTAAAATCTATATAAAACGAGGTGCATACACAAAGATCCAGTAAATGGATAAAAGGGTAAAAAGAAATATGCACATAACATTGACCTTACAAAGGCATTAATAACATTGTTAAGCATCAACTTTCTATAACATCAGCATCATGCATAAAAAGGGTTGCTCACAATCAATTATAAAATATTATCAATTAACAATTTAACATCATATCAATATCAAAGATAGTTCACCACATATTGCTGGAAGAGGTGTGTTGTTGTGTTAGTTTATGATTTAAGCATTATTAAAGATTGTAAACTGAACTTTCAGTTAACTTCACTGTTGTTAGAGAAAGAACTTTTGAACAATAGAAAGCAAGCTTCGCCAAAAAAAGCACTAGAGTCGCAGACATTAGGGTGTCACTCTCGAAGACAAGAAAAGAGGCACGGAATCCCTGACAAATTGTTTAAGCACAAGCATAGACTTTAGAGTCTGTTTAAATCATCCTCATCAAGTCAACCCCAAAAAATACAAAAGCTAAAAAAATGAAAACCTGCACAAACCCCAACAAAAATAACTAAGCTCAACATAACAATCATAGCTAGATATATTAGAATCATGACTGCATATATATATATATGTATGTATGTATATATGAGATGCAAATACTTACATTTCCAGTACAAAGTTCAGCCAAGATGCAGCCAAGAGACCAAATGTCAATCTTCTTATCATAAGGAAGTCCTAAAATAACCTCTGGTGCACGATAGGACMTGGACTGCACATAAGAGCAAAGATGGTCTGTTTCAAAACAGCTACTTCCAAGATCAATGACCTTCACTTCACATCTACTGTAGCTCTTCACCAAAATATTCTCGGGCTTTAGATCACAATGTATTAGCCCAAGACCATGCAAAAACTGAAGTRCTTCCAAGCACTGGATGGTTATCRACTGCATACAMGAATATGAGAAAAAGGTAAATGCTTGATTCATATTTTCTCCATATGAGCATACAAACACAACAAACCTGCAATCTTGGCATCGTGAAATAAACCTCCCCGCCAGATTCTCTATTGAACTTATGGAATTCATATAAGTTTGCCTTAAGAAGTTCACATACAATTAACAAATGCTCCTGAAAGTACAAAAACAGGGACAATGTTATAGGCGAATTCACATACAAAGAATAAATGTGCTCCAGGTGCGGAGAGAAAATGTATAGAAGCAAAAATCATACGCATCAATAAAGAAAAAAAAAAGCCATTAAGAAAACAAATTAACGATCAAGCCACAGCACATATGTTTTCTCATTCATAAAGAGTTCAAATGAGAACAGGAAAGAAAAGCAACAAAACCTAAGAATTCATTGGTAACTATCTTGTAATCWAGATCATCAAGAGCACTATAAAGTATTACCAGGATAGAATACAGATTAAGATGTAATTACGTTCACATCTCTGTAGTGAAATATAGACTTCTCTCAGATTTGATTGAAAGAAAAACTAACCCACTGTTGGAATTCAGTGTATTTACCATGTTATTTCAGTTTTATTATTTAAAGTTGAACTTTCTCTTTTTTGCCTACAGATTCTCAAACATGCCCCACATGCAGCTATGAATCAACATAAACATGGCATATAAACTTGAAATGAGACAAACAACATTATTTGGAAAATACACTGGAAAATATCAAACATAAATTATATAAGACTGCACTTATACACAAACATTATATTTATTCATCACTAACATTTCAATGTTCCTTTTATTCAAAATAAGATATACTTCTCAACCACAGGATGGTGCAACCTCTTTGGATTGGGCTACTCTTGCGAAGTACTGTACTAAAATCTGGTCAGGTCAATTAGAGTAAAGGGCAAAATAGGACATTGAAGAAAGTAAGCGTGAAACTAGACCACAGTTAGCAAACCAACACCAGAAGGCAATCAACCAACGAATCAGTCGCCCAGTAATAGAAGCAATCACAGAAATATAAAGCAAAAATGAGCCTATGGAAAAAGTAATTCCATACTTGAGAGTACAATCAGCCAACTAGCAAAAGGCAATCCACTAATGATCACTTACTCGGTAATAGAAGTAATCGTACAGTCTGAGAAGATGGTATTTGTCACCAGGATCGTGCTTGTTGACAAACTTTAGAAGCTTTATCTCATCAAGACTCTGGTCAAAAAAGTCTTTATTGTTTTTAATGATTTTCACACACACATCCATGCCGGTGTGAAGGTCATGTGCTTGAATAGCTTTGCTGAATGCAGCAGATCCTAGATACTCAGTCACATGATAGCGACCAGCGATGACGGAATTTAAAACAACATGGAAATTCTTGTCCTCCTCAAAGCCAGTTCTGGGCAACAAATAAATATATTTAGTAACCATATAAGCTCAAATTTCCATGAGGAAAGCAGATGAAAAGAAAACATATCACAATGAAACAAGCAGTCTGCAACTATCAACACTTATCCAAAGACAATCCAAGATACAAATTAGGAAACCTTGTATTAACATGCTTACAAATATTGCTCTAAATGAAGCTTCCAGAAGCAAGTCGATACAAATTTGGTAGGAAAACTGATACCAGCTCCATTGCAAGGGAAGATCAGTTTCTTTGTAACCGTGCAAATTGACTTGGGAAAATGGTTTTGATATTTGAAAGGTAATAAAGTACTAAACAAACTTCTAAGTATGCCAATTATGGGATAATAAAAAAATTGAAAAAATCCAACTAAATTCGAACAAAGAAACAAATATTGTTCTGTGATACAGATGTTCATGTGAGATGCCAATATGGCAAAGCAGATCCTTCCACCATTTTCATCTATAGTATATAATAGAATTATCAAGTCAAACTCATGGACTGCAATGTCTATCCAGTAAAAATGTACAGTCAGCAATATATTTCAACAATTCTCGAACTCTGCTCCAGGTTTGAAAGTGCAAAAATAAAGCCACCTGAAAACAGGATTTATTTATGGCCTTAAAAACAAAGTTGGTCCTAGGTATCAGGAAATCAACTTAATAGAGCAAATATTTTAATATTGGAGAACATAAACCAAACCAAACTAAACGATCTCGGTATATCCCGTTCAGGGTCTGGGGAGGATGAGATATACGCAGACTTGTCCTTAGAGAATAAAGTGCTTGTTTCCGTGAAGACCCCAACTTGTACAAAAGTGTGAACAAAAAGAAAGGTCACATCATAATGTTTGGATTTAACCAATGCATTCCAAAGATCGTAAAAGCAAAGCTAACATACAAAATAAATATGGATGGTTAACCCAATCACAGAGATCATTGCCATGAATAGGCCATTGCACCCATTGTTAATTCCATCCATCCCAATCAAATGGATCCAAGGTTTAGTCCTATTTTTCCTTAGTTTGTGAAGCAATCTCCTACAATAGCATGAAATATTTTCCTATGTGAGAATTGGACGATCCTCCTGTAGCGTTATTTCCCCAATACGACAGACAATCTCCTACAGTATATTCACAAAAACGCCAGTGTTGCTAGAACTAGCTTTAGACCCTGAGTTCCTGCCAAGTTTAAATTTGACGTAGTTCCATTCCAAACATATCTTAGTAAAAGATAAGCTATCACAAACAATATTCACAAGTCAATTTCATAAGCTCATAATATAAGTTCAGTGCTTAGATATATTGCCAGTATATATTTCAGTGGTTAATGATGTCTATGCAAGTTTAATGATCTTATTCCAGTTTCACCAAACATGTTGCAAGTGTTCAAACAATATCCCTGAAAACCTAAGATGGATCTTTTCCAGCCACAACCACAATGGTGGAACAATGCAACAAAGCTGAAAAGTCCTATCCAAATGATTTAGCAAATATAGAGAGGGGAAGACACATAACTGCATTATGGATTCTGCAAACTAAGTAGATGCAATAGAAGGCATGCCTGTTTTTCCTGTGCACGATTTTAAGATTGAAGGTTTCGTATTCTTCCTCCTGAGCCTTTATCTGCTTCACTTGCTCTTGGACAGCAACTGCCTCTTCATCCTCCAGTGACACCCCTGGATCTTCTTCTCTTGGATCAGCAACTTTCTCATCCTCCTCTTTCCTAAGATGGGCCCTTTCAGCAAAATCATAGTTTGAGGGCATTGAAGGGCAATAATTTTCTGAACCTATAACATCAGCATCATCTTCTTCCCTTGAACTTTTACCAGGTGAGGAATCATTGTTTTTCTGTCTCCATGTCGGAAGCGGGTCATCATTTCCCATCAAAGCATGCAAATGGTTATCAGCTCCATCACTTATGATAGTACTGTTGTTGTTAGACCACAAAGATTTACTTGAAACAGTCGACACCTTCCCGTCCCTAGGAGGGGGGAAAGAAAATCCACCATCATTCACATTTTTTGTTATAATGAATTCACTTCCACTATCATGTACAGGCTTAGAATTAGATATGGCTGTTCTCCTTTTCTCTTTCTTGGCCCTGTCAAGATATTTCTTCTCAGGCTCATGAGTTGAAATACCATCTTTATCATGCAAGTACTCTATGTCCCCCTCACTGCTACCTTCAACCAAGCCCTCCCGCATCTCGCTGCCAAAATCAGCAACATCAGTGTTGATTCCCACACCTATTGATCTAACTGAGCCATGTTGATCATCATCCATAGAAAGCTCGGCTATATGGGGCCTTCCACCCTCAGCTAGCACTTTGCCTTCACCAAACATAACAAGCTCATTTGTTGGTGAGACAAAGCCCTGCCACACAGGTTCTACACTCATCAAACTCAACTCCTCTTCGTCCATCAGTTCTCCATCATATTGAACAGTCATATTATGCTCATTGGTCCTCGTATACATGTCTGTTGTTGACAGTCCTATTGGATCATCAGAACGGGTAACTGGATCAACGTTCTTTGAATGAAAATACTGGTCACCGGATAAGTATGAATCTTCTTCTGCAAATGACTGATCGTCGTCTTCAGTTTTGTTTGGAACACTTCCTAGTGGATCTGGACTGTTCCCATGACCTGTTCCCTTTTCATTATCGCTTGGGTAGTCGATTTCATGAGCCAGGAACCATGTCTCATCTTCAATAGGTTGCCTCATATAGCCAACATCATCATCATCATCATATTCATCGGAGTCCCAATACTCATGAGGGTAATCAACAGATCCACTCAACCCATCGCCAATAGTTGCAAAACCAGATACAAGATCGGAAGTATCTTCTGTAATCCCCTGACTTATGGAGCGCCAGCTACCACCTACAGGCCTCTTTAAACCTAAAGCATCAGTGGAATAGTTAGTAATAAACTACCAAGCAAAAAATCACATAAGACTGAACACAAAAAATGGATAGAAAAGGTACTGGGAAGGTGAGGATTAGCAAATTCAGATAATCAAAATGTTAAGAGATTTGAAAAGCTTTAAACAAATTGCACGACCATGGGAACAACTGGTTATGACTAAATGATTTTGAGCATGTCATGATGTAATGCAAAAATGTACGAGGGTTTATGTTCTTAGCCAGTTCCATGTAGCCCATAATATTTTTCATCTTTGCACTTATATATGCAAAACATGAGGCATGTACATGGATGCTTAATTTCTTTTAGCAATTTGCACAAATGGTCTTGCTTCACTCACACTTTTGGTCCTCTACTTGAAAACACCAACAATTTTGGCCACAATACATTTAAATTGCTGGTTTTAGTCTTTCCTCTCTTTCTTTCAACAGATTTTAGACTGTATCATCATCATGTGAACCAAAATATAGTACATAATTGCTTAATGAAGTTTTGTGGTTCTGCCTATAGGATACATAATTCGATGATAACCTTACACATTAGAGTGCTTGCAAACTAACTTCATCTATTTGCAGCAAAAAAAGAGCAATTTAAATGATAATTCCTTGTCAACTTGTCAAAGTTTGCCACCACAAAGACCCAAGTACGAATATATAGAACCAGATATTCATGAGTTGTGTATTGATGAAAAGCACACACCATGATACTTCCTATTAGAATCAATATCATATTTGTTTCTTCATATCAAGCAATCTCAAGTAAGACTTCCATATATTGAGGTAATTAAGATCATCATTTCAGATCCCCCTCTCCTAACGATGACATCTTATGGATAAAGATGTATGCGTGGATTACTCTGTCCTGACAAATTCTGTTGATGTATTTTAAGATTGTGGACATCAAAAGTCGAAAAATACTTCAAACTTGTTGGGATTGACCAGAACCTGGACTGAATTTGTAACCAAAACACACTACAACCACCAACCATTAATACCACCACATATCTACATTTACATTTTGTAAGGTTAACAGAAAAAATTTAAAACAACTTAACAAGCTTAAAATTTATTACAATAATATCCACTGTAAAAGTGATTGTGAACAGAATTACACAGCAAATTAACTTTACTTGTATCCAGATCGACGCATGGCATGATTACTAATATTCAGTCTTAACTTTAATCGATAACAGGGCATACTTCTCCTGAATGGTAAATAACTCTTCACAGAAGAAAGTCAGAGGTGCTTGTGCAAAATAACTGAATGGTAGCTGGATATACAAGTCAACTTATTGATTCATAAACCATAAGAAATGTGATACAAAAAGAATATGAGTCTTAAAAAGTTGACAATGGCTATACCACAGTTACGGCACAAACAAACAAACAGAGCAAAAGCTGTGAGATATGTGCATGAATTAACACGTGTAACTGAGTCAATACTTTCTAAAGTTAATAAAAAGAAATAGTTATGAATCAATTAACCCTGGATTCTGGAATAAAGTTTGCATAAGAAGTGGGTAAAATCCAAAAAACTCTAAGAGAGCAATTCCTTTCTGATGCAAATATAATGCTTTATTAATGAAAAAAAGAGTTAAAAAGTTGGATAAACAGATCATGTTATATAGAAAAAGGTGGTGCAACGAAAATAATGCACTCCTGATGCCCGATGCATATAGGTTTCAACGTTGATACAAGTCAGCATGTAAAATGCCAACCAATAGTTCAAATTTGAGATAAATGAATGCATAATTCAACTGTACCTGAAGAGCTTATTTCTTGACCAATAGGAACATCCAGAAACGATCCTATAAGATAAGCATTGTCAGCACTAATAATTTGTCCCGTCCCATCATGTTCGTGCTTCTCATCCCAAGTCATACTTGACAGTTTGTCAGCTGACTTGAGTTTAACAGGTGGCAATCTAGGTAGTTCTTCCTTCTGATTCTCCGAGGCAACTGGAAGACCTAAGCCACCAAAAGCTTGTGGCTCGTTGCTTCCCTGAGTTTTTGCAAAGTACAAAGCCCTCCCAACCTCATTTTCTTGCTCTTTAATTGCTGCCCTGATGTTGTCAGCTTTTCGCTTTCCATCTTCTTTCTGACCAACACCAAAGCTTGTACTATAACTGGTTGATGCATCTCCTTCCGGGAATGGGAATAATGTTTTAATAGAACAATCTTTCCATGTGATGTTATCATTTCCTGACCATGGATTATCTACAAAATCATCTTTTGACACAGCAGCCTTATTCGAATGTTGACGATTAAGTTCCTTAGGCTCAACGAGTTTATCCATGCTCTGCTGCTTTGGCACCAAATTCACTTTACTAGTACTTACAGGCCCAAGCCACAACACTTCCCCGTTCCCAGAAGAATCTGTTTCTTCTCCCACTTTTCTATGGGTTCTTTCAGTATCAGCAGCCTCAGATGGATGAATCTTTGACTGAGATGAAATTTGATACTCCTTCACATCATCTGTTCTGATACCATCACCGTCCTGGCAATGATCAACAGACCCATTATTTGGATCGAACCTCCATGTATACAAATCAAGCAGATTGTCATCTGAACCATTAGAGAACATAAAATTCTTATTCCTTGCTCCAACCAGCTCACTATTTTGCTCTCCGTCAAAGGAATCAATTTCCCATTTATTATCAGACCTATTCCTTCCAGTCCCACATTCTATCTCTTTCACAATATGCTCCTCCTTTGAAACCTCATCACTTGTTGGAAAACTCCTTCCTTGGTTGCCAGCTGCTCCAGGTTTTGCCATATTCTCCTTTTCTAATAACTCCCCTCCCAAGTCCTCTTCAAGGTTAAGACCTTGCATAAACCCGTTCAAATCAGGACGGTTATCGATCTCGCTTCGCAATGCTGCCTCGGCCCTAGCAAAATTATTCCTCCTGAGAAATTCAAGTATGACATCGACCCTCGAGTCTTCCATATTCGAACTGCAACAGCAAGGTAATAAAACACTTATACTACAAGAATGGAGTTCCTAATACTCCATAAAAAAAATTCAAAAAACAAGACACAAGAATCAGCAACTTTTTTGGCTTAATCAAATCCAGTTCAGCTCAAATACAAATTTCAATAAATGATAACTCCCAATTTCAAAACGCCCAATTCGTTTCATATCAGAGCTACACTTAAGATTTGGATTTGAAAGGTACTTTTCAACTCCAAAATATAATTGAACTCCAAAATTTAATTGAACTTCAAAATTTTCAAAAAACTGCTAACTGCATATGACAGTGTCAAATTCGCAATTAATCTCGATCAACTTTTACATTTGAAAACTACCAGGTCTGAAATAGCAAGAAAAAAAAAAGTCCCCCTTTTTAACAGCAAAAGTCAATTGATCTTCTATAAAACGACTCGATTTCAAAAATCCCATATTGCCGTGCAATTTAGGTGCTCTTAATGATATAAACAGGCATAAAACAAGAATATGTAATACAAACAGTAAAGAACAAGAAGTCTTACCTAAATCCTCATAAATTATATGCCGAATCGTACGTTTCGGGTGCGGATCTTCTTCTCGGTAACCCTAACAAAATCTTTTTAATTTGTCGTCAGATTTAAACCTATTTATGTTTGAATTGAAGGCGTGAATGGAGAAGTGAAAGGATAAATACAGAGAGAAATGGTGGAGAGGATGAAGATTGAGAGCTGTAAGTATTGAGTTTCGCGTATCGCCAATGGCGAAGGGGGAGAGGGGAGAGGGGAGATGCCCTAGGCAGAGTTGAAGCATTTACTCCATAAGCGACCTCTTTGTTTTTTCTTTATTTTTTGGAATATTCCCACACGCCTGAGGGGCTAAATTCATGTTGCTCATTAAGTACATCATAACCGTATATACTTCTCTTTAATTCTCTTATTATTACATATGAATTCAAATTCAAATAGCATGCCCATACATACATATATATATACATACATATATATATACATACATATATATATATATATACATATATATATATATATCTTTTACCCTAAAGAGGGATCTTGATTTACCCCGAACCCGTATGGCTGTCTGGTTCGCCTGTCGTCGATGAACCATGCCTAAACATGGGAACCGGAGGCAAGAATGAGGCGGCGACCTTGTTCCCAATCTTCGTCCTTGATTTAGATCTTCACCCCGTCTCGACTGTAGAATATGATCACATCTCCATCTCTACCCCAACAGGGAATTGGGGGGTTTTCTTTTACATTTATGTGATGTATTTTAAATCAAATGTGTTAAATACCGCACTCGATCCAATATGTTTAAAAGTGTTCCAATGGGTTACGAAACAGGGCCTTCAAATTTTATGGGACCCAAATATATGTGTTCTCACTTTTATCCAATTATATATGTTTCAAAACTAGATGAAACATATATAATTCTATAAAAACCAAAAAAAATCCTACTCATATAAATTAAATTTTGACAACCATCAATTGACGTAATTTGACAATGTTAAACACGTAAAAAAATGGAATTTAGATTCAGTTATCGTAATAAACAGTGTTTTTACACTTACAAACCAAACAAAATGTTTTATTGGTAGCAGAAACAATAAAAACCATATGGAAGAAAAAGAAACAATCAAATTGATGCATTTTCAAGAACAATATTATACAGTGAAAATACACACTTTAAACACAAGTTGTATATGAGGGTTCCTATTGATGTCATTTTCATGTGCAAATCTACATCAACATTGCAATTGGCACAAAACGTCAATTTGTTGTTGGTTATAAACTTTGAAACAAAGAAACTGTGACTATCATCTGCAAGTGTTTCTGTATTTGAAAACTATTGACGGGTTTATATAATAAAGAAGACATGCTTACATTATTAAAGCAAGTTGGATCCCGTGTGCGGAAGTAGATAGATATGTAAACAAGCACAATACTTGATTTTAACATTTCTAACCACCCTCAAGTTGAAACAATTGGATAAAAACGTCATTGTATATTCACAGTTTTGTAATTATATATTTAAACCAAAAGATCCATCACACACACATGCATATATATATACTAGAAGGGTACTTGCACATTGCAGCGAGATACATAATGATTTGAATGTTTTCATTTTGTTTTTTATTTATTTCAGTCGATGTTATAATACATGTTTATGTGGTTTTGAAAAACGATAATGTTTTTAAGTTTTGAATAAAATATAAATATGAAAATATCATAAAAAATATGAAAAAAAAATATTAATAGCAGTACCAAACTAACTATTTAAAAATTTCTCGTTTTTTTTTTTTTTTGTATTTCTTTAATTTATTTTTGGTTTAATTATATAGTTTTTATAAAGATAATAATTAAACATTATGTTAGATTTCAGTAATTATCTTAATTATATTTTAGATTTTATATATTTAAAATGAATGTTTATCATGTATTTGATTATGTTTATTTGCAGTTAGTTACACGAATTTAAAAACGGAGTTTTAATAAATTGTATTTATGCAAATTTACTTGTATCTTGAATTTCAAGTAATATGCATCAATAAACAGTACTTCATGCATAAATAAATGGTTTTTAAGAGTTTTTGTCAAATGTTTTATAATATAGTACTAGTTGTGTACCCGTGCAATGTGGCGGAGAGCCGTGAATTTTAACGATTTTGAAGTTTCACTAGTTTTATTAGAGAAGATTTAACGATGATATAAATTACACTTGGCCTTTACGTATTAGTATAATTTGAATAAATAAGAGTTATGATTCCAATAATAGTTTATCGATGAAAAAAATTGTATGACAGTTTAAAATCCAATATATTTAAAATCCAACATATTTAAACGACTCCACAAATGTATTCGATTTACACCAAGAGCAAATAATCAAGAGAAGATAGAGCGAGACCGAGAGTTCTAGAGCAATTAAATGAGAGATGGATGAGATGACTTTTAATAACTCATGATGAATATCAAATTGAATCTCACATTGGGGGATGAGGAGAAGACATAGATGTATGAAAAGATGAAGGCATTAGTGAAATGTGTCAAAACTATCTTGGAAACATGAAAAGAAAAAGTAATAATGTGTATTGGTAACTTGTACTATATGTTATTTTAATGTAGATTAAGAAATTTTAAGACTAAATGCATAAAATAGTAGTACTTAATGCATTATGAGTTGTTTTTAAGTCTTTATGCATTAAAAATTGTTTTTAAAACTTTTGAAAAATATGGTTTATAAGATAGTATAGATATAGATTTTTGTAGGGAAAACTTAAAAGTCATTTTGTGTTTTAGATTTTTTTAGGGAAAGCTTAAAAGACAAGTACTTTTGTGTTTTAAAAACAAGTACTTTGTGTTTTAGGTTTTGTATTTTTTTTTTAAACTATAAGACTTTAAGACATTTATCAAATTTGATTAATAAGATAGTATAGATATAGATAAATATATATTAAAAATCATGTTAATCTATTAAATCATACTAGAAGGGTACTCGTGCAATGCATCAAGACACATATTGATTTCAATGTTTCGTTTTATTCCCTTGTTATGTCGATATAATACGGTTTTATGTGGTTTTGATAAATGCTAATGTTTTTATTTTTGAATAAAATATAAATTTAAAATAGTATAAAATTTTTAAAAAAATATATCGATATCAATATCAAATTAATCTTTCTAAAAGTTCTTGTATTTGGTGTAATTTCCTTACAAAGTGTGACACCCCAAAATGAGGTAAATAAATAAATTAGAAAACAAAAAGAATAAAGAAAATAAAATAAAATGAGTTTTATTTTATTGGAAAAAAAAATATAAATATATTTGAAAATTGGATTAAAAATGAAGGACCAATGTCATATTATGGGTGAAATGTGTAAAGATGTCAAAAGTAATGGAGCCAGGGGACCGAATGCATTTTTATAATAGTTAAGGGTTGGGTCAGATGTTAACAGGTCCAAACCAAAAGGACCTGTTTTGTAAATATACATCAGATCTGCAAATTCAAAAACGCGAAAACGACCTCTCCTTTAAAGCTTTATATAAATTTTAATTTTCAACTATTAAGACAAAAAAAGAACAGATATATGTAGCCAACACTTTTCTCTACACTTTTGCTTCAAGAAAACTGAACTTTCGTTGAGTTTCGAAAGAGAAATCGAAGGTTGAAGTTCGGGTTCGAAAAGCTCAATTTATTGATGATTGGAGGTAAAATACTCAACCAAATTTCGAGTTCTTTATATGGATGACTTCGTTTTTAGATCCTCTATAAAACCATAGTAGCCTTATCTCTCAGATTTTAGTTTTGAATGTTCGATTTTTAGTTTTTTACTGATTTTCGAGTGGTTTGAAGACCTTAACTTTAAACTAGCGTATGAGACTCAATATTTGATGGTTTTCGTTGATTTTTATTTCTATGGTTGAGGAAAATCATTTTCTAGAGATTTTGCAAAAAAGAATTATCGAAAACGATGAAAAAACGAGGCCAAACGGCCTATTTTCCCGGCTGCCGGCGTGACCAACAATGGTTGTTGTTTGGTCGATGGTTGTGGTTGTTGGGCTACGTTTTTTTTTTGGGCTTTCTCTTTTAATTTATTAATGTTGGGCCAAAGCTAGCAAGTTGGACTACATTTTAGGCTACATATTGTTGTAAGAAAAGAAGTCCATATTCTTTTTGGAGGCTTAATTTTAGTACTCAAGTTATAAGATTTTGTTAATTTATCCAAGTTAATAAATTTCAGATTTAGTTAATTAGTTTATATTAACTAATTAATTTAATTTCTAATTAGTTAATATATAAAATTGAATTAGTATTTAATTAACATATTAATTAATTTATTTTTTGAATATTAATATTAGTTAATTATTTATTTTCTAAGAATGATGATTATATAAATCGGTAAATTTTTTTAACGATTTGAGCGCCGTAATTTGAGTAAAGTAATTATTGTGACGTTTTAATTTAGAGAGATGAGATTATAAGATATTAAAATGTTTTTGGGATGCCATCGAGGTTTTAGATTTGGGGCTTGACTAAAGTTAGTCGGGGTTGACCGAGTTGACCAAGGGTTGACTTTTAGCATATTTGATCCATGTGGATTTCAATGATGGGTCAAATAGAGTTGTTTGAGACATATTAATATGCTCAGATACGAAGTTTGACTTTAGGTTGGGTCAGAATGACAATAGTTGATTTTTGTTGACTTCTTGAGAAATTAAGACGTTAATAAGATGTTATGGTATGAAATGTGTAGGCATCTGGTCAAGATGTATCGATAGTCAATCTATACGCAATCAGGTGAGTCTTCATGAGACTTACAATGGAATGCATACCTATGTATAAATTTATTTTGGAGCATTATATGATAACGTGTACATATGCAAGATGATTCAGTTTGCATACATGATATATTTTATATGTATGTTATTTTATGATTAGTTGCATGTTATGTGTCTATTTTGTTTTCAAATAACTCTAGCATGTTATTTCATTTGAAAGTTTTATGATCAGTTTTAGCGGGTAAGCATTTGACCAAGAAGTCACATGACAAGTGGCACAACCTCGTAATGAGTGTCTAGACAGGTGCAGATCGGACAATTCAGGGAATGCAAGTGACTAAATGACTCATACCCGACAGACAAATTATGAGATATCTTTTATTTTAGTGTAGCATGTTTTTCAGAAAATGCATACTATTTGGTACAAAGTTTACACGTTGATATGTATGATGTGAAATGATCTTTACTCACACAAACCATTAACTCACTGAGCTTTATAAGCTGACTA